ACGGTACTATAACAACAGAATAAACAGTGTGCCTCAGCATTATATATGGCCTCACATATCCTTTGGCATGGCTAAAATCATTCTTTCAATCTTGTCCTTATCAGCCATAGCTCATAGCTCACATTTGCTATTAAGAGATAGATGAATGAAAATTATGCTAGATAATCAGATTCATAACCACCCATCTGGACTTGTGGAGGAAGTTTAACCTTCGTGATCTCTTCCTCACTCTGAACCTGGGGCATAAACAACCAGGGAACGTTATACTCTGTGTAAGTATGTCAAGGTTCAGTCTTTATAGAATCAGGAACACTTTTTTTTCAAGAATCACAGGCACATTTAACATATCTGTTTCAGAGGCCGAGTTCTATGTTCTATTGGGAACTCACAGAATGGGAATCCTTTGACTTTGGCATTATTATCCTACATAGTGAACTGCTGTGGCTACAGACTAGAAGACTTCTAGATTGTAATAATCTTAACATTTTAAGTACACAGTCCCTTGGTTTTCCCTGACCTGCAAAGAAAACTAAAAAAAAAGAAAAAAAGACAAACTCTGCTGTTACTATGCCTGAACGCTGCCTAGAGCCCAGCAACAGAACATGCTTCTTATTGTATTCAGCAGCCTCAAAATATACTTTGGATATTCCTCCATGAAGAAATATGAATGTTGTTCCAATAATCAGTAGTTTGATTGAATTGTTAGCAGATTGAGAGTTCTAGGTATGTAAGTACTTAGAATTTTTAATTTTTTTTAAAATAACTTTCAAATTAGTGAAGACATAATTGCTGATGAGCAGAGGAAATGAATGGCAAATAATCCATATGAGCAATTCAAAAGTATTTTCTGTGTGCTTTTTCCCTTTGTCTTTCTTGTGGTTTAAAAATGCTGCTGTGAGAAAATAAACATAAGCAAAAGGTGTTGGATGAACACTGTGCAGAAACAAATTGCTACACAGATGTATAGATTTAATGAGATACCACCGTGCTGTTTATTTCTTCTAAGAACAATGATGCAAACAAGAAAATTTCACATTCTGAACTAGTTTATATATTTTTTGAAATACCATCTGTCACTACAGACAAAACAATGTAAATGTAGCCTGCATGGGCCGCCACCTCCCTTTGAAACAAATATTTATTTGCATATTTTCAAAACTGAATAGATGACTATAGGGCCTAGAATAGACTAGAGTCCTATGGAGAAACCTGATACAGTGAGGATACTAACTGTATTTTGTGCTACTACCTAATATTTCAGTTTCAGTGTTTGGAATTTTTTGCTGCTCTTCATCTTGGAGAATCCTTGTGCTCCTTATGCCCCTAAATTAACTGAAATCCAAATTGCTTTAGTTTCACCAAATGTTTCAGTGCTAAAATGTAGGGCTGTGCAGATCTTTCAAAGAAAGATCCCAGCCGGCATGCTGTTTGAAAAACACTGCTCTAATGCAGCTGTTCCTGCAATTCTGCTCCAAAAGAGGACCCACAGGCTCTTCTCTCCCCTAGCATACTCCTGCTCCCAAACAGTTTGTCAAAGGTCCGTTTGGAGATTATTCATGCTGATGAGAACAGACTTTTACTTCATATTTTTCCAGCCTTGAAGAGAATGGCTGCTTCTTTGCTGCTATTATCAGTGGGGTAGTGACCATCTGTAGGGATTGCTGGCATCTGGGAGATATAGGTTAAAAATACCTCATACTGTAGTGAAGGATTACTCTGCAGGTAGAAGGAGAACAGGCTTCAGTGTTGCTCCCAGAGATTTTGGTCAAGGTTGCTCCTTCTCTACCACATTTGTTTGCTGGGCAGAGCAAGCCTCTCCCCTTAACCCCTGGGGTCTTGTGTGTTTCTATCTGTATGCAGGGGGGATGGGGAGAAAGGGAGAGTGAGTGTATTGTGGGACAACCACCCACTCCTGAAGAATTCCTAAGGGACTGATTAATTTTTAGTTTCTCCAGTAAAATTGATGTTAAAACATTGTTTAGTTTTGACAAAAAGTATGAATGTTTATTTGTTTGACTGTGGTACCTTTGGACATATGTCTTAGATATATCAGTGTTTTAAAGATAAGAAATTTCCACTGAATTTTGGACCTCTTTAAGCATTTTCTAATCTGGGACTAAATAAGGCAAATTAAGAGTTGAAAGAGTTGTAGGATATAGCTGTTTTGTATTTTGAATGGTCAGCTATCATTCAAGTTATAACAACATTACAAATTAAATAAAGGAAAGGGAATTCTGCGTTTCTGCATGGAAATGTATAGCAACATTATTTCAATTATGTATTTCAAAATTATACTATATTATTTCAAAAAAATATACTATACTATAATTAGATTTTTTCAAAAAAAATCTGAAATATCCAAGAGAGATGGATGTACATGGATTCAAGCTGTCTTTGATATAGACTAAATGAATGGTGTCAGACAAGTCAGGACAGCTCCAGGTGTTCTCTCTGATAGGTATCAGTGAAACAGGGAGTGTAAAAACAAGGTGAGTAAATTTAAGAAAGCAAATATAGAAATAGCTAAATTTTAAGTAACTTGAAATCTGATTTATTTCCCTGTTTTTAAAGATTGGCTTGGTTAAAACCCCAATAAACTACACGTGCAGATGTTTGCAGACATGTGCATCAAGTTATGCTAGGCAGAAGAAATTACATAACTATTTGTAAAGAGTCAGGGTGATCCCTTCTGTAGCAGCATTCCCCTCCTTGGAGATCTGCAATTTTTTCTCTTAGTCCCAGAAGGAGAGGAAATCTTCACTCAGCAACAAGTCCTTATGGCAGGTTCCTGGTGATGTAAGGACAGAAGAAAGGGACGAGTGAATCCTTTTCATACTGAAAGTAGCTCTGATTAGGGACCAAAGTTATTTTCTGTGGAGTGTGAAGCTTAACAATTTCTACAAATAAAGTAGAGTCTGATAAAGAACTGCACCTAAACATCAGTGTAATTCAAAACTAAAACTCTCTTTTGTTTTGTTGATTATTCTAGCCAGAATTAGGAGGAAAAATTCAGTATTACAGGATAAGGAAGATGGTGTTAATATTTTAGGTATGTTGCCAGCATATTGTTAGACCCACTAACTGTCACTAGACTTCTCTCCAATGGACGGACCTAAGAAAGTTTCTGAAAATCCAAGACTTTTGTTCTTAAGAAACAAAATAAGAAAAGAAATGTAAATATTTCTTGTCTAAAAAAATATTCATTTCCTTTATTTCTCAGTAGATGCATATTTCTCAGCTTAAATTATTTGCATGTGTGCATTTTATTTTTGTCTATAGAGAAAAGGGTGTTTCAGTAGTTTGGTTGATTTTGGAAGAACGTTTAGTTATTTTTGTTAAGCCACAGATTTCCATTGGGAGGGGTAAAAACTCAGGAGTTGAACGTATGTGTTGCATGGGAAATGGCTCAAGATCAGTCATTTGAATCTTAGTTAAAAGGAATTTTGGTATATTAAACTAGAAAGAGTCTGCTCTGCCTGAAGTGTTGTTGGTCAAAATATAACATGATTCAATATAAAGCAACTTGTATGTTTCTATACAGCAAAACTTGTTCACAAAATAGCAGCAGCTGAATTTGGATTGATTCACGTAACCCTTTTAACTTGTAAACTGGTGCCAATTAGCATATTACTCCAAGTGGATTGCTATTGAATCCAATATTAAAGATGGAGGAATTGCAGACATGAGTTTTTGATTATTCAGTAGCTAAGGTAAAATTTGAATCCAGTTCCAAATGTGAATGTTTTTGCAAGTGGCTACAAAAAAAATGCTTATCCTGTTCTTAAACATGTACTAATAATAGAGCCTTCATTTAGTTGGGATCAGTATTAAAAATAAACTTGGCCATGGATTATCTACTTTGAACCTTTGCTATTGGATGATATCTTAGCTCAAATAAATATTATTGAACCAGCGTTGTTGGGCAAGGAGGGGTGGCATGGTTGGTCATAAGAGTATGATATGTCTTGAGTTCAATATAGGTTTGCCACTAAAAGTTTGACAAGTGTTCTAGGGCTCCCTATCACAACTTGGTGATCAGATGTGTTGGTGATACTCCTTGTATTTCTAGCTGTTACTAGAAGTTTGGGGAAGGCTGTCTAAGGGAATAAAGAAAGGAGTTACTGGGAACTAATGGATCTTTAAAGTTTAATTAGAGTACCTAGGGTCTCTAGATGGCAACCAGGGGATGGGAAAACAGTTTAAATTTACCCTTTTACAACAGTCCAGATCTCCTTATCAGGGATCCTTGTAACAGGAGATGCTTGTGACAGAGTAATTTCTTGTGGGTTGCTAGTCTTAGCTTCCTCTTGACTGAAAACATGAAGTACTGCAGTGGCCACATAGTTATAGCTGTGGCCTAGTCAGATGATGTCATCCCTGATTTTTTCCTCCTAGGCTAGTGACATGACAAACCAGCCCTTTGTGAAATACAGCATACCTTGATGGGGATACAGAAATTAATAGGAGTAATACAAAATAGGATTGCTGGTTTGGTGTGATGGTTCAGGCACCAGGCTAGAAGCTGGGAGACCGGGAGTTCTCGTCCTGCCTTAGGCATGAAGCCAGCTGGGTGACCTTGGGCCAGTCACTCTCTCTCAGCCCTGGGAAGGAGGCAAGGGCAAACTACTTCTAAAAAACCTTGTCAAGAAAACTGCAGGGACAAGTCCAGGCAGTTGCCAGGAGTCAAGACTGACTTGAAGGCACAAATTATATTTATATATAATAAAAAATAGTAGCAGCTCCTGCTCCCTGGTCCTGCTGTACATATAGTAGCATGTTCGTATCCATAAGTCCATAATGTGCTCTACTCTGTGGAGCAAGTTTGCAAGTTACATACAACTTTCAGGAATCAGAAAATCCCTTATGAACCATATTTTGAAAGTGAGATTAAGATTAATGCAATAGTATACTTGTGGATTATTTCCATTTGTGAATGAATTTAAGGGAAACAATTATTGTTAACATGATGTCTTCTCCTCTTCCTTTTTCTTCTTCTTCAGCAAATTCCATAAAGCTGGAAATGCAAAGTGATGATGAGGATTCTGACAGAAAGCCTCTAAGGCAGGAAGATGGGATCATTGGGCAGGATGAAGGGAGCAGTTTGGAAGAGCCCCTCACTGAGAACCAGGAGATTGTGGAGAACAGAAAAATACAGGAGCTGTCAGGCGAGGGAGGAATCCGGCTTCCGAATGGTAAACTGAAATGTGACGTCTGTGGCATGGTTTGCATTGGGCCCAATGTGCTTATGGTACATAAAAGGAGTCACACTGGTAAGCAGCCAAAAAAAAAAAAAATGTGATGACTGCCTTTGGCATCTGATGTTGATATTACCTGACATCTATTCTCTAGTATTTCTCAAGTCATCATTGATAATCAAGTGCAGTAATGGAAAATCTTTTCCTTTCAAACTTTGCTTATTAGGAAGTAAGTTTAAAAAACATGAATTTACAGTCTTATTTCTTTCACAATAATGTTTGAGAAGTAATCACTTCCATATTAAGTCTCCTTCACTATAAAGGTACAGTATATCCCAAACGGGCTGTCTTTTAACACAAACCTCCCTTTTTATTGATTTTACAAAATCCTCCCCTTCTACTATTTCTTCAGCTCTGAACACTTGATGATGTAAAGTATTTACTAACATTATGACATCCTTCACAAAAAAGGACACAGACCAGTGAAAGATTTGGCATGGAAACTGTCTGTCAGCTATCAGTCTCTTGTATGCCAATCAGTCTCCATTTTTAGAGAAATCTGAATTTATTGGGGAACTGTAATGTATGGCTTGTGGTTAGGCTGGACTTGAAAATCAAAATGTTGGCATATTGCATATCCACAATGAAAACTGTATCCTTGAAAATATTGATAGCTGTCATGCCTCAAACTGATTGATACATTCCTACCCAAAGAATGCTGGGATCAGCTTGCTTGGACTTTTCCCTCTGTTTTGTCAGATATTATAGGAAAGATCTAGCCTGTCACTGCTTAACTAAATAGGTCCTTCATCTGACCCTACCAGTGCTTCTTCCTTGGTACTTCCTGGACTAACTATGGGTAGTCATTCTACTATCAAGAACCCAGGACTTATTTTTTCAACTTCAGTAGCGTTTAGGTATGCCTGTGGAGTGAGAGGACTCTGTCCTTAATCTGAGGCAACTTTCCATGAAAGCATGTCTTAGGAGAGTTGATGGAATTTTCTGATATGTAGATGCACTCAACAATGCTTAGTGGAAGTTTCATAATGAAGTTTGCCCAATAATAACTCCACTCTGAGGGTGCTGATCTCTTCACTGTTGTCTGAATGGCATTTAGAAGGGTTTCATTCCCTTCTTGCCTTTCACAGAAATACTGCAGACCCTTTTGGCAGGGGCCATTGGTACACCATGTTCACTTTGTCTCCTGTATTCTGCTTTCCCTTCATTTGCAGTGTAACTGCTTTCCCCAGACAGTGTCTTTTGCACCCTTCCTCCAGCACTGTCCTCCTCCAGAAATTCAGGAACAGCTTCCATCTTTCACACTTTAAATATATTTCTCCCAAATAACTGCTATTTAGCAAACTGTTGTGTCAAGAGCAAGAAAGGTTTGCTTCATACGTTGATTAACTGCTTATATAGGAGAGAACAATCTTTCCCTCAACTTTTCTCCATTCCCTGCCTCCACATACAGTTGACTTCTCCTCTTTCTTTTCCTTCCCTCACAAGAAAGGAGGGAACGAGACTAACTCCCTTTGTTTTGTCCCCTGGAGGCTGATTAAGGTGAGATACAAAACAACAACAAAAGGTCTGTGTTGTCAAAGGGAATTGTTGCAAGGAAAGAAGAAGAAACTAGAACAAGGTTTTTTGTAGGGGGAAGGGTGGAGGTTTTCCTGGGGCCCTTGCAGATGGCCAGCCTTCCTCTTAGCCAAGTGAAATTAAACTAAGCAGAGCTTGAATAGGTTGTTCTGACTGTTTAAGGACAGAAGGACACTACTGGAACACGCAGGTTTGCTTTTTTTGTAGGCACACAGGACTTGCAAGGAACCAATTGCCAGTGTTTCCCCTTGGTGACCATTGGGCCAGTACAGAGTGCCTCATGCCCCCCCCCCCAGCTTTGCACCTCAACACAACAACCTTCAACTTCTGTAAAAGAAAGAAATAAAAGGGGATGGGAATAAAGCCAGGGTTATCCAGTGCTTATCAGAATGGCAAATTCTGTCTGTTGCAGCCCTTTTGCCCAGTCTTGATTTCCTGCTGCCAAGGAAGGGTTGCCAAGAGCTGGAAGGCAGGAAAAGGGAATGGTCCCCTCCAAGTAATCAGCAAGCCTGTCCCATGTAGCTGAATCCTGTGTAACCCTGCTGCTTCTGCAGCAAGATTCCCTGGCTAAAAATTTGCACTATACTTTATGACTGCAACAGGAAGAAGCCAGGACATAGTGGAATGTCCCAGCAAGACCATCAATCAGTGGCAGAACAATTTGCTTTTATTTTGCAACTGCACCCCTGTCTGGAAGAATCCATACCCTTTTTAATTCTATTTTGAAAACTGGTACTCAGACCTGCCACAGCAGTGAGGAACCTGTAGGAGACTTAAATTTATGAATGTGATGATTGGTCTGGTAGGGGACAGGATTCATCTGGCCACTTCAGTCCAACACCCTTCATGATTAATGTATCATTATTGGTGTATGGGGCATGCGACAGGACTTTGCCTTGGAAATGAGCTGTATGTACAATGAACTGTCACTAGCAATGCAGAAGGCTGCAATACCTGAAGTAGGGAAGTCAAATGAATCTTTATTGAGGCTGCAGAATAGCAGAAAATATGCACAATAATAAAAAGTTGCACAAGCAAAGAATCAACTGTCAATATTATGCCAGTTAGTAGGAGAAATTGTGGTTCATTGGGCAGTACTGTTGATCAGAGCAGAAGAGACCCTTATGGGAAATGATTCAGTGGTAGTTGTAATCCATCACTGAGAGTCGAGAGTAGGTAATTGGCCCCTAGTATAGCTTTTGTTTTTCCAGACTTGTAATACCAGCAGATGTCATAGATTTTGTCCCCAGTAATGACTGTATCTGGTCTCTAGTAAATTACAGACACTCATTTTTCATCTTTTGAAACTGCATACCTCTTTGAGTATTAGTTAGCAGTCCTTGGTCTCAGCAGAGACACATGGCCAGTGAGTATCTTCCAGGTAATGATCTCATTCCACAGAGTAATTCCTCTTCCTGTTTGTATCAAGGAAGTTCCTGTTTGTATCAAGGAAGGCCCCAAGTGATTTTTTCAAGGGAGTATGACTTCAGCCAGAATAGGCTATTTTCCTAATTCCTGGGTCTGAGATCCAGCTACCCACTGTTCCTTCATCTTATCTAGATTCAGTTTGTTTGTTGGACCATATCTAGTCTATAATAGCCTCTAGGAAACTGCAAACACCTGCACCTTTTTTGATTCTGATGGAGATAAAGTTGCATATGATCTTTGTATGGATGACACCATACTCAAAATTCCAGATTACTTCCTCCAGTGCTTTCATGTAAACTTTGAATAGTAAGAATAAAAGGATAGCACCGTGTGGTATGAACAATAATATTCTGCAGTTACTCTCTAGTATTGGTTCGGCAGACAGAAATGGAACCTCTAATTTCCCAAATCACTGAGCCATCTATCAATACCTCTTATTCAGTAGTGTGAAATGCTGCTGAGAGATCTAGAAAAATTAGCATGATAGTATCCCTCCATCCTTCTCCTTTTAGAGGTCACTGTCTTTCACTGCTATTTCTAGGCCCAAAGTAAGAGTGAGATGGATGTAGATAATTGGCTTCTTTCAGACAGGTAACATCTTCCTTGCTCCCAAAAGTGGATATATTTCAATGGGTAGTAGCAAAATCATAGGATCCAGATCTAAATCACAGCAGAGCCTCTTTCAAGATAATGGGTATTGGTTCCTTGCTTAAAGAGCATTAACTGTTTCTCTCCCATCTGGCTACACTTTCCTGCTCACCTGATCTAGGGAACAAAAGGTTGCCTTGACCCTCAGTATTTTCCTGGCTGCATTATTCATCCTTAAAAGTAGGACACCAGTGATCTGTAGTGACATATTTTACAGCAGCTTGTTTTTAGCATTAGTTGGCAGCAATCAGCATCTGAAAAACTATTCTGCGTATTGTAGCATTAGGTATGACTGATTCTGTTCACACAAAATAATAAGCCAGATTGCTTCCCCTGCCTGTGGAAGAGGCTGTAATTACTAGGAAGCCACAACACATAAAAGTATGTATGTATGTATGTATGTATGTATTTATTTATTTATTTGG